GGATAAAGTAATACAAAAACTCAAGACTTAAGAAAAGCAATAAATGAGATAGCAGGGCACCAAACAAAAGGTTTTTCTTGCCTTAAAAAAAAAAGAATTAATGATAGAATTTCTTTGCTTCTATTGAGACATAAAGCTTTTTCAGTGTTGTGGCCACAAGCGAGTCACACCTGCATTTTAACGACAGTTTCCTCCCTCGGCTTTTCTTCCCTCCCTTTTCCCAGCTTCCCTACGTACTGATCTTTAAACCATTTTGATTTGGCAAGAAGGAGGCTCCAATAATCTTGGAAGGAAAGTTTTAATATCTGGTCCCCCACCCAAAGGGCAGTACCTGGAGACTTCCTGAGTCTCCTTCCAGCTCCAAGGTGCCACAGTTTTATGGGGTAGAAAGAACAGTGTGTATTTTAAAGAAACAAAACAAAACAAAAATGGAAACAAAATTCTATGAAAGTCAAGTAATGCCCCAGGACTAAAAAGGAGTTCAAAGGAAAAATATACGCCTGTATAAATAATGAATTTCTTTCTTGGTTCTTGCCTCCTCCCTTCCACAAAATTGCCTAAGGGTTAGGAAACTAAATAAAATTTTACCTAAGCAAAGGTAAATTAAGCCATGATAGATCAAGCTCTAAGTAAGAATTTCTTTTTTTTCCATTAAATTGTAATTTTATTCAAATTATATTAGATCATCATCCTAAAGAAAGAAAACAAAAGGGAAAATATTTCTATCTCAACCAGGTGTCATACTGGCAAATAGGAAAGAATTTCCGACCTGTGTTCTACTCTGAGGCCACTTGTGCTAATGGTATCCAGGAGGTATTGAAAAAGTAGAGATGGTCCTAGGATCAATGTAATATAATAATTTATATTAATCTTATTCTGCTCATGTGTCCTAGATTTTTCTGGACAATCTGAATTTTAAGTAGCTGGTCACTTTGTTTTCTTAACTGAATTTTTCATTTAATAAATGTTCATTGATTCATTCAACGAAACTGCTTGCTAATGGTGCTGAGCTAATTGGATATTCGTATGGGGAAAAAATAAATCTTGACCCCAGACTGCACAAAAAATTAACTTGAGATGAATCATAGACCTAAATATGAAGGTTAGGGCAATCAAGTTCCTAGAAGAAAATGAAGGAGATGACCTCTATGGCCTTAGGCTGGGCAAAGATTTCCTCAACAGGACATAAAAAGTACTAGTCATAAAAGATTATGATTAATAAATTAGATGTCATTAAATTTAAGAATTTCTGTTCATCAAAAGATAACATCAAGAGAATGAAAAGAAAGTCACAGAGTGGGAGAAGATATTTGTAAAATATATATTGGACAAAGGACTTGCCCAGGATCTGTAAAGAACTCCTACAGATCATTAAGACAGACAACTGTCTAGAAATAGGCAAAAGACTAGAATAGACAGTTCACTAAAAAGGCATCTAAACGGCCAATGAGCACATGAAAAGTTGCTCAACATCATTATCAGAGAAAGGTAAATATAAATCACAGTGAAATAGACAACCCCATTTTTCCATGAAAAAGACTGACAATATCAGTCCTGGCAAAGATGTGGCGCAACTGGAAATCTCCTATCACTGGAATATAAATTGTTATATGACTTTGGAAAAATGCTTGGCAGTGCATTTAAAGCTTAATATGTATATACATTATGATTCTGCAACTTCAATACCTGGGCATAAACCCAGCATAAATGGACGTTATGTCCACCAAAAGACATACATAAGAATGCTTGTAGGTCAGAGGGCACAAAGGTTCAGAATAGGTGCTGGGGATCTAATGTACAGCATGGTGACTATAGTTAATAATACCCTATTATATGCTTAATTTGCTAAGAAAGCTTATTTTTTTTATTTTTATTTTGTGTATGTGTATGTGATTTTTTGGAGGGTAATTATGTTTATTTATTTATTTTAATGCGGGTACTGGGGATTGAACCTAGGACCTCATGCATGCTCTACTACTGAGCTAAACCCTCCCCCCAAGAGAGCTGCTCTTAATCATTCTCACTGCTCCTACCGCCAGCACACGGTAACTATATGATGTGATGGGTATGTTAATTAGCTGGGCTGTGGTGATCATTTCACAGTATATATGCATATAAAAATAACAAGGAGTACACTTTAAATATATACAATTTGTATTTGTCAAGGATACCTCACTAAAGCTAGGGGAGGAACAAGATTGTTTGTAGCAACTTCATTCATGACAGGTCAAAACCTGATGCAACCCAAACATCCACTGGTGGAATGAATACATAAATTATTGAATATTTACATAATGAAACAATACACAGCAATGGGAAAGAATGAACCATTGTTACATGCAACAACATGGATCACATCATAGACACACTGTTGAGTGAAGGAAACCAGATACAAAAGTACACACACTATGTAATTCATCCACATCCAGTTCAAACGTTAGTAAAACTAACGTATGGTGACAGAGGTCAGAAGAGTGGTTACTTGTGGCCACTGAATGGGAAGAGGCATGGGGAAGCTGGAGATGTTCTCTGCCTCGATCTGGGTGGCAGTTACATGTAGAAATGCATTGTTCTGTACACTTTACAGAATTTATACCTCAAAAACAAAAAGTTAAAAAAGATAAGGTCATATATCCTAATTTCATGTCCAACAATAGAGTCACTGTGCCTTTCCTACAAGCATTCATACTGATATCCCATCTCATTAATGTTCCAGGGGACCTCCCCCTCCCCAGGAAAGGCATATATTTGAGAGCTCTATCCTGGCAGACACTGAGAGCCAGACTTATTTCAGGCAGGGATGGAAGGGGCCAGGTAGAGAAACACTGCTTCTAGGAAGTAATCTTTTCCCCCACCACCGAGCTAAGATTAGTACAAGCCCAAAAACGTTTGATAAATAACAGCTACTACTTGATATAAATAACATTTAGCACACACTTTATATCAGGCACTGCACTTCTATCTTTCCATTTCCTTATTTAATACTTACATAACCCTACAAAGCTGTTCCATTTTTAGCCCCATCATACAGGTGAGGAAAAGGAGATATATGGAGGGTTGGTTAAGTTACTTGCCCAAGATCTTACAGATAGTTAGGTGGTGAATGGAGATCCCAACCCAAGTTAATCTGAATTTAGAACCTGGACCCGAAACCACTCGCTGCGGAGTGACTGGATGGTGTCCAAGCCCCGCTTGCATGTTATATAACATACACGACTGAGCCCTGGGACATTGCGAGTCGCGCTGAAGCTGCCGCGACGAATTCCTCCAGACCCTTAGTCCCACTAACTGCACACAGGTGGTAACCGCGCCAGAGAACCAACTGTGCCGGCCTTTCCCCAATGACTTCCAGCCAATTTGCTTGGGGAATCAGGAAGGTTCGCCCGGCTCAGAAACCACAATTTTTTTTTCCAACTTCAAAACACACGTTGGAGGTAGGCGTGGGGGTTTCACTCCCTAGTCCCAGAGAGAGAACCAACGCGAAAATCCCCAGAAGAAGCAAAAGAAAAACAAGCCTGCGAGAGAGCGGAGTAGAGATGAGAAAAACTTGTGGTGGGGAAGTTTTGTGATCGGAGTAGCAGAAAAGAGCGCAGTGGAAAGTGGAAAGAAAGGGAGTCCCTGAAGCTACGAAGTTAAGGGGGCGTCGACGCAACCCCTCTCTATTGCGCCTGCGCAGTGCTACCTCCTTGGGCACCCCGGCCCCTTCCCGCCGCCGAAGATTTACTCGTCTCTCGGCAACCATTCACCCGAGGAGCCAATCAGAGGGCACCGTTCGCCCTGCCCTTGCCGTCAGCGCCCAGGCGGAAGGATCCCGTGGGCGCCGGCTCCTCCCCGCTCCGCCCCTCGCTCCCTCGGGAGGGCTGGCTCAAGGGCGGGGGTGGGGGCGGTGGGGGCGGG